ATATATATATTTATCAAGAAGTAAAATAATAAATCAAATACACAATATATATCCAAACAAAATAGTCTAAAAAATAACCAAAAAAATTCATAGTAAAGAATCGCAAAAATTTAATCCAGGTCACATGAATCTCTTATTCTTAGTGTGGCATTGGAGAAGAGGGAAGAAAAAGAGAAACTTCACAAAGTTATGATCATCCAAAAATTGAATTATGAAAAAATGATTTTTCATCTTGCAACTCCTTGTTTAAACTTTTTTTTTTTTTTAAAGTGTTTTGGAAGTTATTTTTTTTTTTTTTTGAGAATATATGGTTGAAAAATGAGGAAAAATTTTCAATTTATGTATAATATTATTTTATTGAAGGATAGGTGGTTATAAAAAAGAGAGGGAAAATGTATTTCGATAAAAGATGGGACTCAAATCAAATGAAATGATGATCAAAGAATGATGGATGAGTGGAAATTTACATCTTCATGTTATAACTTATCAAACGGAAGTAAGTTAATGGATTATTATAACTATTAAATAGTCATGAGAAAATGCAATTTTATTTTTTAATATATAATATTAGGTTTGAAAAAAAAAGTCAATTTATACGTAATGTTATTATTTTTATAATAAAACTTAATATTATTTCTTCTCTCTCTCTCTCTCTCTCTCTCTCTCTCTCTCTCTCTCTCTCTCTCTCTCTCTCTATATATATATATATATTAAATTGCATAAAATAATGTCATTATTAATTATATATTACAATTAGTAACAAATTTGTTTAGCAGAAATTAATTGACTCAATTGTACAAGCAATACAAGGATAAAATGAAAACTCGAATGTTTTCCAACTATTCATACATGTAATATATGACGATAGATTTATCGTTTTAAATATTTATTTACTCATTCCATTAAAAGAAAAATAGATCCTTTTTAATAAAAAAAATTAAATATAAACTTAGGAGGGGACTCTACTTTACCTCTCACTAAAGATGCACAATGCTTACGTTGTTCGGAGACGAGAGAACACGCTAAAAGTTAAAGAAGCTACACTAATTTATTTGTTCTACTGATACTTCTTCCTATAATTTGCGTCATGTAAAATCTGTCTCTGGCTCCTCCTTGTCAATTTAGACTCACTATTTGAAGGAGATTTCATAAATTTATTATAATATCCCAAGTCCGGGGAATTCATAGCATTGCTATGGTTGACATGCATGTATTCAGAAGTGTTCCCTACATATTCGTGTTTGCTTGGGATATCTAATCCCAAATTACTCAAATCGTTGTCAAAATTGTCGAATTGGATCTTTGTTCGAGTAACAATTTGAGGGTCTATCTGTTCAAAAAATTCCACGAATTCGCATTCTACATGTTGTAAGAGTATCTGAATACAAAATCTATATATTCTTGTCCTAACTCCCATCTACTTAGTTGATTGAGCTTAAATTTTATTTATCTACCTATTAACCATTTTTTATTTTTTTTGAACCAAGAGCTGAAATGTTACCACCCCGAAGCACCATTTTTGAACATTGTCGGATCATTTTTCATTTTCGCTTCTTGCAACCATGTATAAATACACACATCTCCTCATTGTGCCAAGATGGAGACAATGACCACAATATATTGGAAGAATAGATTGCAAAATTCTTTCTTCCTCATCTGTAATTCTAATTTTTTTCTGGCTGATGTTTGGAGAAATCAATTTAGACCATAAATTCTACAACACTTAGGGCTCGTTCGATAGGTTTATGTTTTTGCTTCTATTTCTTATGCAAGAGTTTCATGAAAAACCTACCTTAATTATTGTATGAAAATAAGATATCCATGTTTTAGAAGAGTTTTAAAAGAATCCACATTGAGTCTGCTTGTCCTAAAAGTTTTTCAAATTAAAAGAAATACTTTTATACAATTAACTGGATAAGTTTTGATGTTTCAAAAACTCCTTTTAACTTCTAAAGTCATGCCAAACATGTGCTTGGTCTTGAAAAACAAGTGATAGGTTCAATGATGATACAGGAGGTTCCAAATCAAGTGAGCCTGAGATGTAGATAACATGTTGATAGCGTTGAAATACTATGAAATGGTGGATTGACGCAAAGATGGAAAGTCATTGCAATAGTTTCCTTAATTGGGGCAATTTTGACATTTTTTGGTAATTTGGTTATAACTTTGGCTACAATTATTAGAATCGCAATTATGACCCCAATCCGAAAACTCTTTTGTCATCTAGCTATGCTTTGTGGGTGTCAATTTTGAGGCCAAAATCCGCTGTTTTCCCCTCCAAATTTCAATTTTCAGTTTTTTATTTTTTTCCCCATTTATGGTAATATTTCGTTTGCCTTTTCTAGTTGATTACAAATCCGATTTGAGCCAAATTTTTGGAAAGTTACTTTTTTTATTCCGTATTTTGTTTTGTTGTGATTTTCGGGATTTTACTATTTTTGGTAAAATTTCAATAATTTCGTGTTTTCTCAGCTATTTAACATGGCCTATGGGTTAATTTTCAAAATTCTAGAGTTTTAATAATATTGATTGAATTTTAGAGAAGTTTCTCTGTATTGGGCATTATTCTTTCGTTTATTTTTCTTGTAAATCGTCTATTGCAACAAGTCGCGAGATAATCACTATTCTGCCCGACGTCAATTGTCAATAAAATAGAAATATTTGATCAACAATGAACTAATAACATTAAGACTTATAAGAAGAAAAATATAAGACGAAATACTGGTTTAAAGCCAAACGGCCCCAAACCACACCGTTTGATTTATGTTTAGTTTTTGCTCAAGCCTTTTATACAGTTTTGGTTTATGTTTAGGTTATTTTACAAACCTTTAAGTCAACAATGGCTCAAATCTCGACCTCTAATTGATAAAGGTTCAATATAAAAATTAATGAGTCTAGAGTACTAGGGGGAAAATGCAGATTAATTTATCTTCTTTGTAGAAAAAATATTTATTTAAAGGTATTGGAGTAGTTGACAACTTTCTTTTTCATGCACAAAACCAATTTCGGCCGTGCTATTTGCACAGAACCCTGTGCAAGTGCACAGGGTTCTGTGCAAGGAGAGAAATCCAACCAATTTATATTGCCATACTCTGCAGCTTAAAAATTAATACTTGTTAGCTGGCGTGTGCATGACGTCCAAATGAAAATTTAAACAATTCAAATTGAAAAATCAAGAACATGCAGTGCAAGAAAAACAATTCCTGTGGTCCAGTGACAATATGACCAGTCACATAAATTATCAAACGATATATTTTCAAGAAAGTGAGAGGGAAAATAAAAGTATTGAAGTAGAAAAAAGGAGTCATGAACGCACAAATTCACATTATAAGAAAGACGGAGATCTTGCTTTGCTTGTTGTATCCTTCGTTTAGTAAATTAGGCTTGACACCAAAAACGACAACCACCCGAACTACTGATAGAGGCAAGAATACTTTCTTGACCGACCTTGCTTAACCAACCTCATAAATCGAACTCAATGTCAAATGCATGCCCGTATGTTGATCATAAAATTGGGTTCTACAACATAGAGATTTAAAATTACGGGGTGTAATTTGAAAGAAACAACGATAATTGTGGTCCAGTTACAGGTAGCTTGAGAGTTCAAGGACCTACCATTTTCGACTTATTAGGCGTGGGCTTGTCAATAAAGATAGTCTGGTGTTTATTTAAAAAATGGGGTAAGAGGGCCTAATCTGTACCCAGTCCTATGAGCAGGTTGATGGTAACGTTTTTTAAGGATCAAACCAAGAAAAAATTACACGCGGACAATTAACTCATTGATTACAGTGGTCATGAATAATATTACAGTGGACAAGATTTAAAAATTATAGGCCATAATTTGTAAGTTTTTGAGTCGAGTCGAGCTAAGTCGAGTAGGCATGAGTTGATGCCCAAAAGGCACCAAAATAAAACGCTTACCAGACATAGGTAACATGTTATGTCGATATCTGTGGCCATGGAAAACCAGATTGTCACTCAGCATTTTAGAATTATTAGAGTTTCTTTGTCTTTATGTACGTTTTCATTTATGGGTACTGCTGTGTAGACGCTACTGAATTCCTTTTGCAGTTTGCACAATTTGGACAAAGAACAAGACAAGGCTATGTCAGAAATTTTTTTGCCTTGAAGCTCTAGTCTATTCAGGGTTTTTGTCTTGTGTCAAAATGATTGACACAAGTGGGAAACGTGGATTTGATTGGGGTTTTTCTACTGAGTTTTAAATTCTTCTTATCTAGATGTTTTCCTCATGAGTGTAACAACTATATCGAGTCTTACGCTGTTTAAAATTAGTTGACTTAAAAGTACATTGAGCACCATTTTATACGCTGTTTTCAACATCGAATTCTGCCCAATGTGCTTGTAATAAGGTTACTTAAGGATGGTTACATCCCTGTGAACTTAAGCAGCCTGGAATATGGATTATCTTGGACATCTCTTGTGGAAGGAGGAATGAGTTCTTACCACTATGGAACACATTCCATGAATGTATACTAAGAATCTGCGTTTTGTTTTGTGCTGGTGAAGAAGGCACCAAGATAGCAGGGAAAATTTGGAAAAAATGTAGCTTTAGATTCGTGGACCGGACAGCTTGAAAATGGACACCAAGAAATTGAAGACTATTTTTGTAGTGTCCGATAAGTCCTATCTTGTGGATCGAGTTGTTAAACTTGACACAATAAAAAACAAAGAAACTCTACTTTGACTTAACAAATTGCATTAAAGCTTGAACAATGGTTATTTTCCACCCGATTATCAGAGAAAAAAAAAAGGCCTTTTTAACAGGTTTTATACGATGCTTAATCCAACTGATGGAACTTCACATTCCCCAACGTTACGGACAGACAGCTCCAAATATTTCTCTCAGGAAATGGTTTATCTAAGGTCAGTAAATTCTTCAGTTCAGCAGTAAAATTTGCCTCAAGTTTCATCATTATCTTCTAAAAGTACTGTCTGTGGCAGTCAGTCTGATTACTTAGGGTCGAATTTATTTTTTGATAAGAGTTTGAGTACTAGGAGAGTGAATTCTGATTACATTCGTATTTAGGTATATAGTTCTTTTTTGGATAAAAGATAGAAAAATTTAATTAACATTGTGTGCTCCTACCGAAAGGCGAAAAAAACAATGGAATACAATACGTCCAACAATAAAAACGCTTACCATCTGTAGCAAAAGAAGCTAGACTATGGCGCCACTTATTCCCTTTTCTAGGAATAAAATGACATGAATCACACCCGAGATCTCTAAGCACAGCTATAATATCAAGCAAAATGGCTGCAGTATTCGTACCATAAGCCAAGAATCGAGTGCAACTTTAAGTCCCATTCTCATTGCTTCACTTCAGCGTTTTCAACTGCCATCGAACCAGTCTTCTGCCGCGCCACTTTCAGCCAATACTACCCCCTCGTGATCCCTTATAACTGCTACTCTAAAAGAGTTTGCTTCCTAAATTAAAATAGCGTCAGTGCCACCTCTTCGGTCATTTTTTTAATTTATTTTTAAACCTCCTTTGTTGAAATATTATCGTCTCCCCTCAGTTTATTGCTTAGCTTCCATCTCCCATCCATAATGTATCCTACAATTGGAATTTTTTTCTTTACAAAATAAATCGAAAATGTCACTACTTTAACATAAACTATCAAAAGAACAGAAAATAAAATAAAAACTACGAAATAAGTAAAGGGTAGAGTTTGGATTGCCTTCCAAGAAGCGCTTCTTCAAAATCATTAACTGGATTTTGTGCCACTATTATTCTGGAACTAGCTCAAGGCTCTCTTTAGCGGTGAAAAACTTTTCTATATAGTGCTTGATGCGTTGAGCATTAACCTTGAAATTCTCCTTTGTTGGGTGGTGCAATTCAACTGTGTCGTAGAGAAATACTTGTGCTACCTTGAAAGGACTAGACCATTTGGATTTTAATTTTCATGGGAAGAGTTTAAACCTAGAGTTATACAAGAGCACTTGGTCTCCCACTTTGAAAATTCATTGCCGAATGTTTTTATCCTGCCATTGTTTGGTCCGTCCTTTGTAGATAGATGCATTTTCTGAACTTCTCTTCTAAATTCTTCCAATTTATGCAATTGTAAAATTCTTGTTACTCCAGCCTTCTCTAGGTCCATTTTCAACTCCTTCAATGCCCAGGCTTTGTGCTTAAACCCAACTGGTAGGAGGTAGGCTTTCCCAAATACTAGTCGGTATGGAGACATTATAATCAGTGTCTTGTAAACTGTGCGACAGGCTCACAAAGCATCGTCCAATTCTTTTGACCAATCTTTTCAAGATGCATTCACAGTGAATTTCAGTTGTTTATTAGAAATTTCGATCTATCCACTTGTCAAAGGGTGATAAGGTGTGCAATTCGATGTTGTACCCTGTACTTATAAAGTACCGCCTGGAATAATTGGTTACGGAAATAAGTCCCACCATCTTGGGGATTCATAGCGGTTGAAGATATGTTTATTTTATAAAATCACTACTCTCCTTGCATCATTGGTGGGTAACAACTTGACTTTTATCCATTTGGAGACGTAATCCATCGCTATAGGATATATCAATTATTATAGGACGACGGGAAATTGTTGACTTGAATAGTTGACTTCTCATTTTGATTATCACAAACAAATTGCATTTATTTCTAGCAAATTGATTTCAAGTGTTGATAGTGATTATTGCAAAATTAAAGCACGAAAATCGAGACCAAATGCACATTGACAAATGGATTTTGGAGCTTAACGATCAACATTAAAACAAAATTGGCAATTGACGAACTTAGAAAAGAAAATCAAGCTTTCACTTTGGAAAAAAGATTGATCATCAAAATTCAAGACATTAGATATAGATGCTTTAAATTCATATATAAAGGTAAAAACACTTCAATTTCTAGTATCAACTCTAGCTCAAAAAAAGTTTCCACAAGAAAAATATTTGCATAAAAATTGATTTTAAAAAGATAAGCATTTCAACTCAACAATCAAATATTTTCAAAAACACTTATCCTTACGAAATAAATGAGAAAGTCCTTCAAGAACCTACATTGATCAATTTTATCATGAAGGAAAATGTCCGAGGGCATTTTTGTCCATCTGGACGATAGGATCACCAGCAATCACTTTTTTTACCAGTCTGCTATTGACTCAAATGGGTAGTTTTTAACTGTCTGCACTCCAACCAGATATCCGCATGGACAAATTTTTTGTCCCTTTGAGCGTTATAAATACCACTTTTCTTCCTCATGTGCAACAACTTTCTTTGAGAATTTAAGTGGGGCCTTTGTTGATCTCAACTATTTTGTATTTCAATCTTTATATGATCAAAACATCTATTCTTTGAAAGATTGTTTGAGTGATTAAATTTTGTGAAAATCTTTTATCTCTTTAAAGTTTTTCAACTACTAATACTTGAGCTATACTCATTGCTATATATTGAAGTGTTAGCCTATCCCTCTCTTGATACTTAATTGATCATATCATTTATTAAGAGAGAAACTTTTGCTTGTAATAATATTTTATTGTTTGATTTTTGGTCGTATTGAAGTTTCGAAAACTTCGACGTTGTAAAAGGATTAGTGTTCTTAGGTTATAAGTCACCGGAAGCATTGTAATAGTTGGATTCCACCATAAGTCAATCAACAATAGGGAAAAGGCATTGCTCACGACGAAATACTCGGTAATGAGAGACATAGATTATTGATTGGATCGAACCTCCATAATCATATCGTTTGTGCATTCTCTTCCCTTTCATTTATTACTTTCTCATCCATGCCATCTTACCTGAGCGATTAATTTATTTGTTGTTTGTTTAAAATTGCGATTACTTTTGAAAAATGTTTAAATAACCAATTCACCTCTTCTTGGTTAGCTATTCTTGGACCTTCAATTGGTATCAGAGCTTGATACTCATTTTCAAAGTTTTCAAATTCTTGAGTAATGGCTAACCCTATATTTCAAAATTTTGAGGGGCATTCTACAAATCGACATTCCTTCTTTGATGGCACACACTATAATTATTGGAAGACTAGGATGATGATTTACATTAAACCTATAGATTACATTATTTGGGAAGTAGTTGAATACGATTCATATAAGCCTATTAAGATCATCATGATAGATGGCCAACATGACAAAATTACTCCTAAACCTAGGGAAGAATATGATAAAGAAGATTATAAAAAGTTATCTTTAAATGCTAGGGCTAAGAATTTACTTTACTGTGTATTAGATAGAAATGAATTCAATTGGATCAGTACATGTGAATTCACATATGGCAAGCACTTGAAATTACTCATGTTGGCACTAGCAAAGTTAAGAAAACAAAAATCAACTTGTTAGTTAAAGAATTTGAAAATTTCTTCACGAAACAAGATGAACTCATTGTTGATATGATTACTCGTTTTACCGATACTGTAAATGACCTTAAAGGCTTTGATTGAAAATTTACCGACGTTGAATTTATTAGCTAAATGCTTAGGTCGCTATCGAAAGATTGGAGTCCATTGAGAATATTGATAGAGAATACAAAGGATATTAATACGTATCTTTTGGAAGAACTTTATGGAACATTAATGACTTATGAACTCAACAATGTCGAGCTCAACAAGAAAACAAGAAAAAGCAATGAAGAATCAAAGGAGCCTTCTAAGCGTCAAATTGTCTTAAAATCGACAATAGAGAAAGGAACTACAGATGACGACATGAGCGATGAAGAGCTCGATGAATTAGTTATCCTTGTCAAAAAATGGAGATATTTTTGTAATAATTGAAGAGTTCAAAAGAATGAGGAAAAATGCGAAGAAAGAAATAAGAAAATCATTTGCTATGATTGTTATAAGCTGGGACACAAAAGAACCAAGTGCTCGAACAAAAAGAAGATTATCAAGAAAAAGACACTCCAAGCTATATGGGACGATAGTGATGATGAGGACCACAATAAAAATGATAGCCAAGATGAAATTGCCAACATGTGATGAGTTATCTAAATCATATAGTGAAATACTTGGACAATTCGAATAACTTGCTTTAAGTCATTCTATCCTTTAAAAGAAAAATTATTTATTGAAAGACGAATTAAAGAAAATTTTGAAAAAACAAAAAGAAAATGTTGATCATGATTCATTAGTTAAGGAAAACACTTCCTTAAAAGAAAAGGCTGAGGACTTAGCGAGAATCATTTATAAATTTATCAAACCGAAGAAAAATTTTGATTTAATGTTTTGAAATCAAAAATGTATTTTTGACAATGGGAGAATGGATATAAACTCTCTTTAAAATAAAAAATCTGAAAAACATGTTTATCAAAACTTCAAATTCAAATATTACTTGTAGTTTTTGTAATAAAAGTGAACAAGTTGCTTTTAATTGCTTAACTAAAAAGAAGCTATATTTTGAAAGTAAACATAAGTGGATTCGAAAGTCCACAAAAACAAACTACCAAGGACCCAAATTTGCATGGGTACCAAAAATCAAAAATTAAATTATTCTTGTAGATACCGAAAAAAATAAAGAGCAAATGTTTATTGGATAGCCGATACTCAAAACACATGATCGGAGATCAATCTCTTTTTCAAATTTCAACGAGAATGATCGAGGTTATGTCACTTTTGGAGATCACTCATCCCCCTCGATTGAGAATGTTTTATTAAATGATAACTTCAAACATAATTTACTAAATATTAGCCAATTATGTGATAAAGATTACAATATAAAATTCGATTCTTCCAAGTGCCTTATTAAGGATGCTACATCAAAAGAGGTGATATTCATAGGAATCCGAAATAAAGATGTTTATATCATAAATATTGAATTTGAAAATAATGAAGAACGTTTACTTAGCTTGAAAGATGAAACACGGTTATGGCATAGGTGATTAGATCATGGTAGCATGGATCTTCTTTCAAAAATTTCAAAAAATTGTTTTGCGAAATGATTGCCAAATTTCAAATTTGAAAAAGATAAAATTTGTGATGCACATCAATTAGAAAACAAGTAAAGAATTCTTTCTAGCCTAAACTTCATTCTTCAACTACAAAATCATTACAACTTCTCCACATGGATCTTTTTGAACCATCTAAAACGACTAGCTTAGGAGATAAACATTACGCCTTCGTTATCGTAGACGATTTTTCTAGTTTTACTTCAGTCATGTTTTTAAACTTAAAAGTCTTTAAACACTTATATAAGAAAGTCGAAAACAAAAAAGGTTATACCTTTACAACTATTAGAAGTGATTATGGTGGATAATTTGATAATATCGATTTTGATGATTTTTGCATTGAAAATGGATATGAACATAATTTCTCGGCTCCTAGAGCTCCTCAACAAAATGTGGAAAGGAAGATTCATACATTGCAAGAAATGGCTAAGACCATGTTAAATGAGAATAACTTACCAAAGTATTTTTGGTCCGAAATGGTCAACACCGCTTGCTACATTATCAATAGAGTTTTAGTAAGTCGAAAGAAGACTAAAACTCCTTACAAGCTTTGGAAAAATAGAATCTCCAATATTAGTTATTTTAAATTTTTCGGATGCAAATGTTTTATTTTAAACACAAAAGATAATTTAGGAAATTTCAATTCTAAATTTGATGTTGGAATTTTTCTAGGATATTTATTGACTAGAAAAGTTTATAGAGTATTAAACAAACGAACTCCAGTCGTTGAAGAATCCATGCATGTTGCATTTGATGAAATTAACTCTCTTGATCGTGAGAAAGGTATCGATGACGATGTAGGTTTGGAAGCTTTATTCGACCAAAATGAACATTCAAGACAAACACAAGGAAGCTCACAACAAAGAACAAAAGGAGGAGTCCAACATTCAAGAGAATATAGAGAAAACAACTGAAACTCAAAGTGATCACTCACCATGAAAGAATTAAAAAATAGTTTCATCTCATCCCAAAAAGCTTATAATAGGGGATCCATCAAAAGGTGTTACTACTAGAACATCTTTTAAATCATCTCGATAGTTGCACGTTCATTTCTGAAATTGAACCTGAAAATTTCAAATAGGTGAGTTTGATGAGTATTGGATTCTAGCAATGTAAGAGGAACTAAATTGATTTGAAAGAAATCATATTTGGGCTTTAGTCGCCAGGCTAAACAATGAAATCGTAATTGACACAAAATGGGCTTTTAGAAACAAACGAGATGAAAATGGAATACTTGTACATAACAAGGCTAGATTAGTGGCCCAAGGTTACAATTAAGAAGAAAGTGTCGATTTTAAAGAAACATTTGCACCGATAGCTAGATTAGAATCCATACATATGCTTCTTATATTTGCATGCCATAAATGTTTTAAACCTTATTAAATGGATGTTAAAAGTGCCTGTTTGAATTGATTTATTAAAGAGGAAGTTTTTGTCTAGCAACTTCTCTATTTTAAAGATCACAAATATCTGGATCATGTTTTTAAACTTATGAAAGCTCTTTACGGTTTTAAGCAAGCTTTAAGAGTTTGGTTCGAATGTTTGAGCAAATTCCTACTTTTAAATGTTTTCTCAATTGGAAAAGCGGATACTCAATTTACCTAAATGGTTGATTTCTCATTTTGATTATCAAAAACAAATTGTATTTATTTTTAACAAATTGATTTCAAGTGTTGATAATGATTATTGCAAAATCAAAGGACAAAAATTGAGACTAGGAGACATGTACATTGACAAATGAATTTGGTTCTTGATGATCAATATGAAAACAAAATTGGCGATTGACAAACTTAGAGACAAAAATCAAACTTTCACTTTGGAGAGAAGATCGATAGTCAAAATTCAAGACATTAGATATAGACACTTTAAATTCATATGTAAAAATAAACACACTTCAATTTCTAGCATCAACTATAGCTCAAAATAATTTTTATGCACGAGAACAAATTCAGTCACAAAAGAATATTTGTATAAAATTTGATTTTAAAAAGATAAATATTTGGACGCAACAATCAAATATTTGCAAAAACACTTATCTTTAGGAAATATTACTACCCATCTGAACGTCCGAATGACCAACAATCACTTTATGACCGTTCTTCTATTGACTCAAACGATTAGTTTTTTAACTATCCAGACTCCAATCGGACATCTGGATGGATAGAATTTTTTGCCCGTTTGCTATAAATACTACTTTTCTTTCTCATTTGCAACAACCTTCTTTTAGCATTTAAGTGAAGCTTTTATTGATATCAACTACTTTGTATTTCAATCTTTATGAGATCAAAACATCTATTCTTTGAAAAATGTTTTGAGTGATCAAATTTTGTGAAAATCTTTTATCTTGTTGAAGTTTTTCAACAACTAACACTTGAGTTATACTCATTACTATTTATTGAAGTGTTAGCCTACCCATCTTGATACTTAATTGATCATATCATTTATTAAGATATAAGCTTTTACTTGTAATATAGTTTTGTTGTTTGATTGTAGGTCGTGTTGAAGTCCTGAAAATTTCAAAGTTGTAAAAGGATCGATACTCAGTTGTAAGTCACTGGAAGCATTGTAAGGGTTGAATTGCGCTATAGTCAATCAACAATGGTGAAAAGGTCTTGCTCATGATAGCGAGCTTGGTAACGTGGGACGTAGATCGTTGATTGAATTGAACCTCCATAATCACATCGCTTGCACATTCTCTTCCTTTCAACTTCTTACTTTGTTATCTGTGCTATCTTACGTGCACGATTAATTTATTTGTTGTTTGTTTAAAATTACGATTATTTTCGAAAAAGTTTTAACTAACCAATTCATCCCTTCTTGGTTAGCTATTCTTGGACTTTTAGAAATGTCGTAAAATCAAGGGGAATTTACAAAATTGTCACCAAAAATGTAAGTTAAAAAAAAAATGTCATTTTCACTTTTTGTGAGCAAAAATGTCACATTTTTGGGGTGCAAAGTCCAAAATACCCTTAATCACACATTTCTAGTAGCATTAAATGCTTGATGTGAAAGAAAAGCATTGACTTGATAGAAAACATGGATAAATGTGTATTTTATTGATTAATATGAATTTTTGTTAATAAAAAATTACCAAATAAATTAGAAAACGAAACATAAACAAGAAACCCTACCTCTTTTCCATCTTCTTCATTTTCATTGATCAAGAAGACATTTGTGTTCCATTCTACATCCACTTTGAGAGGTTAGCAATTACAAATTAATTTATATTACTTTTATAACTTTGTATTTGTACATATTAAATACAACATGGGCATATTTATTTGAAATTACTTTGAAAGTATTATGCATTCATTTGTTTGATTTTTTTGAATCCTTAATGAAATGCCATTATCACCATTGAGTAATTTCTTCTATTACCACCATTAAGGTCTCTTTAATGACAAGGCCAATATGCCATTTTCATTATGTCATTTGGTAGGTGAATAATAATGACCACACTTAATATGATGTGTTGAAGAAACCTCAGAAATTCACTGCCGTCTGCTTCCCGACAATCTCGACAGTTAAACTGTCGAGTTCGACATTTACAAATCGTCGGGTTAGACGTTTGAGATGTCGAACCTGACATTTTGAAACAGCCGAGTTATGGAATATTACTTTCAATTTGGATACTTCAAAACGATACAACCCCTTGATTTGAACTTTTGTTATTGTACTGATTTATGTATTATGAAGTGTGAGTTTCATACTATTAAATGCCAACATATTGATTCCGAATTGTAACCATTGCAATCCCATCATTTCAGGTATGAATAATCATTTGAGATTCGTCGTGTCGCATGGGGGAAATTTTGTTCATGCGGATGACGAATGGAAGTGGAGAGGGGACAAAACTACTTCCATTCTGGTGCCAAGAAGTATTACCGTAGCGGAACTTATGTTAAGGTTGAAGGAGAAACTTGGTATTCTTGATCCCCGCGCTCAAATTGAATTGAAGTTCAAAGTCCCTAACTTGAATATACCTCCGGCTGAAATATGCGACAATGAAGACTTAAATTGGTACGTATCAGTGCATAATGAAAGTGCTATCTGCGTTACTGTTTTGGAATCCGATCTCCCAAGTGTTGACATGGGAAGGGATGCAAATTTTGAAGATCCTTCGTTTGCTACGGTAGATGTTCTGCAAAATGTGGAACATGATTTGGTGAATCGAATGCATAGTGTCTCAAACAATAATGCACTTGAAACACATGAGTATGATAACGGGAGTGAACCATTAGACGAGAACTTGGATAACCCATCACTTAGTTTAGAGGCTGCTAATTCTGTTGATGTCGAGGACGAGCACTCTTTGTCACATTCGAACGATTCGGATGGATATGAATTTATGAGAACTGTGACTACATCCGATCTTGCCGAAAAGGAAATATTCTTCAGGAAGAAAGAGTTGTACTCAAAAATTCGTGCACTTGCTTTGAAAAACAAGTTCCAATTTCGGGTGAGCCGGTCAAACATGAAGATGTTAACCATTGTATGCGCCGACCGCAGTTGCAAATGGATGTTACGTGCTTCTACTGTGAGGTAGTCTGCAATCTTTGTGATCTGCAAATTCAATAATGTGCACACATGTTCCATCGATTTTCGCAGTAATGCGCATCGACATGTGACGAGTACTGTAATTGCCGAGCATATTTTCGAAAAATTGGATAATCCGAACCGATCGTATGATCCGAGCATTATTGCACGTGACATGGCACGTGAGCTCGGTGTCCAAATAAGTTACAGCAAGGCACGTAGGGGAAAGGTGGCCGCTTTACATATGCTGCATGGGACACCAGAGGACAGTTTTCAGAAACTATCTTCATACTGTCACATACTAGGTGAGAATAACCTGGGGACGGTAACTCACATCGAACTTGATTCGCGCGATAGATTCCATTACTTCTTCCTAGCTTTTGGTGCAAGCATTCGTGGTTACATGCAGTACTTGAGGCCCGTTGTTTGCGTTGACGGTAGTCACTTGAAAGGTCCATACAAGGGTACACTTTTACTGGCAACTGCCCAAGATGCCAACAAACAGATTTATCCCTTAGCGTGGGGGATTGTGGATTCCGAAACTAACCGATCTTAGATGTGGTTTATGTCTAACTTGAAAGATCTTATAGGAGACTCAGATGAACTTGTATTTGTTTCGGACAGGAAAAGAAGTATCGAAAGAGCTAGTACTCACTTATTTTCTTTGTCTCGTCATTGTTGTTGTATGTGGCATGTGGAGAAGAACCTAATTCGGCGGCACTTTAACGCAATTTCAATATTCCTGGTCAAACGAGCTGCTACAACTTATCGGGTCGAAGAGTTCGAACGACTAATGGGAAAGATTCGTAGGGTGAGTGAAAGATGTTAGAGGTATTTGGAGAAAGCCGATTTTTCATTCTGGTCACGAGCACTATTCGTGGGAGACCGATACAACATTATGACAAACAACAACGCGGAATCATTGAACTCAATGCTGAGACATGCTCGTTCGTTGCCAATCACGTGTTTGGTCGAGCACATTCGTAAAACAATGCAGAGGTGGTTTTACGAACGTCGAAGCAATGCAACCGCATGCAGTACTATATTATCGTCGAGGATGGAGAACGAGTTACAAACAACATTTGAAGTTGGTACTAGGCTTCGAGCCCATGAGTTGACAAACAGCTTGACCCAGGTTGGAATATCCAACAATATGGAGATAGTGGACTTCTTCGATAACACGTGCACATGTCGTGAGTTTCAACTAAATCGTATGCCATGTGCTCATGCAACTCGTGGTGCTACCCTGAGTGGTAAGTCATTATACGATCTATGCTCTCCGTACTATACATCGGAATACTGGAGGGGTGCCTCTATGGAAGTCATATATCCCGTTACACGGGAAGTGGATTGGGTTGTTCCAAATGAAATCCTAGGCACTCATATTTTGCCACCGACTGTACGTCGTCCTCCAGGTAGACCACTGACGCGACGTAAGTGAGCTAGATACGAGTCCACTTCCCAATTGAGAAAACGCACTCGATGTGGGAGACTTAGTCATAACCGGACCACATGTTCGAACCCTATTGTATCACAAGCCACTTGAAGAAGCGTGATGTGTAAAAGTGGTTGTCTAATGTAATCCCCAAAAAACTTAATTTAAACATGCATTGTACATTCCCAACTTATTTTATGAATCTGTTATTATTATCGTATGCCAGTGCAAATTTGGTCGTTATGTTCCGCAAGTAAAGTACCGATCATTAGAGTTCCATTATCACGAATGAGATGAATACCTTTTTCGTACTATAAACTTAGCCGATCATAGAAGTTTCATTAGCTTCGACTGACAGTTTGTCGAATTAGAAAATTGATTTTCATGAGACCATATTGAAAAACAAAACACCAACATTACGTCTCGACAGTTCATATGTCGTTCTCGACAGATAGTCTCTGTAATTCTCGACAGTTGGGAACAATAGCGGCTTGAAAACCTACACTACTGCGGTTACCTATTATGGAGATGCAGTTTCTGCACGTATCCAGAGAACGTGACCAAAATCATCCATACCACAAAATACTAAACATATTTTCCTACAAAAGGGCCATTTATTGCACAGTTGCAGTGCTTTTGACAATGTAAGAAGCTCCCCCACTTTTCCCATCTGACTCGTCTGAGCTAATGACAATTACTTCTGGAGGTGGAAAATGAGCCATCCACTCATTCGAGTCGGACGGTGACTCGACCGGACCCCTAACCACGAAGACTTGATCGAGAACGCTGTTTGGTGACTTAGATTCTGCACTTGACACTTCATCGAACTCGGCACCATGCAGTTCAACTCTTACATCCTCATCGTCCGACAACAAAACGATGGGAAATTCAGCGGATGAACCCAGTATGGGTGGATGCATATTGGAGTTGAATGTTTCATTGCTAGAGGTGGATGAACCTATTATCTTATATCAACTACCTGTTTCAAAATGGAAGCCTTACAATAGCTTTAATGACATCTGAAATGTAATTTGATAGACAATGCTTGTAATGTATTCATTATGTAAGTATAAATGTATTGGAAATACTTGTTACTTGCAAAAAATCAGAAACGTATAATATCAACAATAGCATGTTACACTAAAACACTTGTATTGGACAATCCCACCATTTTCAATTATCGAAACGCAAGGAACTTATAAAATTTAATGGCCCGCCTAGTTGAAATGTCGGGCCCGACAGATGTTTTATTCCTTCTCGACAGTTGACGAAAACGTGCATTGCAGTAAAGATCGTATAATTTCGAATTTTGGTAAACTGCAGAATAAATGAAGAAGAATAAATAGAAGTAGCTCTTTTTACCACAGTGTTGTTCAACTACGTTGAAAGTGTCACATTGATCTGTAGGTAAGTTCAAAGTGGCACAATACCTTGGTTCCAAAATTGATTGTAAGCAACAATGGTCTCCTGGTATTTATAATCATCCTGAAAGAAGGAAGTAATTACTTCATTTATCTACCCAACCACCAAGTTCAATCTCTAAATAAATTTGAAAAGCAATTGGTGTGATGGTTGCTATAATAAGTGTACCTTTATCCCCCATTGTACCATCATTACTATGACATTGGCAGAGACTAAAATACTTCAATGATGTATAAAATTCATGCATTATGGTTGCTTGCAAGAAATTACTTCTCATTTACCAGCTTCTTAGTTGCACCATGGTTGTAATGGTACAGTTTCTCACAAAACCCACTCATCATGTTAACCCACATAATAACATACGAAGGACAATGGAATATACATAAACTCATTCGTCAATTAGTTGTACCATGGAAGTCATGACTTTGGCACTTTTAATGGGTCCTCATCTTAATCCAATCTATAGTTTCTAAGGAACTACGACATTGAAGCCCGCTGTCTACTCGTAAATGGATATTCGTAAAACGTACGCATACATAATTTTTTGCGCAATACAATGTACGAGCGTTGACGAACATTGAATGAAAGCACTTAGTACCGTAAGTACGATTGACATAACATAATAAAGCCGGATAACTAATACAAGTTGTAACACTACAATAATTTCAGCAACGGTAAACGGTGACAAGGCATTCACCACGGGAATTGCAAAATGTGATGAATGCTTCTAAGTGTCACCAAGGTTGCCAACTACCCTGTCTGATATGTAAATCACAAAAATGAACGAAAAAGGCACCAATATAACACGAAGTAAGTAACATCCTTCACCATGTAAATTACATCAAACAAAAGACAAAAGCATGCTGAATCCCGTCATCGTGCTATGTTCGGCAATTTATCCACAATTACTAATGTTTTTGCTTTGCGCTCCCCCTCGTGTACGGAGTCCTGGTAGCAGGTGCCGGACGTCGCAGTCGTGTGGATCGCCGTCTATTTGTCGTAACTGCTAGTCCTGGTCGGGCTACATTGGCGGGAACTGGGAAAGTTACAACGTAAGCAAATGAAACGAAAAATAAATTCAATTGTCAAAAATTAAGGCAATACCTTGCACTTCATCCACTGCAGCGAGCGCTAGCACGAGGTCATTGTCGGGGCATGGCTCAATGTATACTGTGTCTGTCGAAAAGAACAATTAAATATTTTTAGTGTATAACTACATGTACGAATTTTCAAATTATGCCAAGTACATGAAACAACAATCTACAAGTTTTCCTCATAACTGACCCACATACCTTGCAGATTTATGGTTTCAGTAGGCACCATGTCCTGCTCTTTCTCACGGTCGCCAGGCGGTGGGTGGTGGGTCCCTTCGACTACAACAAATGAACAATTGTAAACTAATCGAATGCCTGAAATAATATTTGTTCAAATCGTGAAAAATAATGAAATACCTTGCACTTCTTCAATTGTAGAGGGCTCTGGCACGGGGCGTTCCTCCGGGCACGGCTGAATGTGCGCTATGTCTATTCAGAACAACAAGGAAACAGCGAATGGAAAGTGAATTTTAACAATTTTCAAAACTTCCGAAACACATGAAATGATAATTAATCAATTTGCTCAAAAGTAACCGACGTACCTTGCAGACTTTCGGTTCCAGTGGCCAGTGGCATATCCTACTCGTCCAGGCATGGCTCCATGCGTTCTTCATTAATGTACATACCAGCCCCCTCTTGCCTGTCAATCCCCATGTCTTCGTCGATACCGTCAGGCGACGGGTGGTGGACTGCAAAGCCTCCGTAGTTTACAATGAATGAACAATTGTCATACAGAACATGTCAGTGAGCAGGGATAAAGTGAACATTGTCATAAAGAACTGTAGTACGCATACGGTGAAGTACCTGATTGTCTGGGCTCGGGATCCACATCAATCGCACATGCAGTGGTTGTAGAGCCGGATGCTGGGACGATGGTGGATATGAAGTCCTTCAATTTTTTAAATCCATCGGACATGTGCCGCATGAGTTCGATCTTCACAGTGCGGAGCCGCATTTCGAACAGAATTCTTTGATCTAGCAACATGCCCTGAACATCGTCTGCTGTGAGGCTTGATCCGGCCGCTGCAGTAGGTCGTACATGAAAGGTGGACGATGCCATGGGAGAAGTAGCTCTATGCTGGTGGGGAGGGGGGGGAAGTCCCCGTCTGTCCACTTCGTCCAACTCGATCACTGTCACTATCCTCACTGTCGTCCTCTTCCGAGTCCCCACCTTTATCCTCTTCGCTCTCATCGGCTCCTGACTCCTCCTCCTCACCACTGGTCCCCCCCACCATCATGGGCCTCCTCAGAAGTATCACCCTCGGGGGTGCCTATACGCTCTGCTTGGAACTGCGGAGCAACACTGTCCCTAGCAAGGTCATCCAACGCAGGGACAGGATCATCATTGAGCAGCACAAGAGTTGCGATATGAGGTTGCCCACACTCAGTCTCGGTGGGCCGCAGTGTCACGTACACGTGTAGCTACAACATGAACATATTCATTACGAAATAACCACATGCTACAATGACGAATGGAAGGTATGAGATCGTAGAAGTAACATAATTTTTTACCTGTACATTCTTGAAGAAAGCATCGTACGTACGCTGCTACGACTGTTTTGTTGATGTCCAGTCGAGAAGCCGTGGGAAACGTTCCCCAAGACGCTCACCGAAGCGATCACCAATTTCAGGCACCGCCTCGAACGCCCATATCTGTTAGAGTAAAAAAGGAATGTGAGTTCAGAACGAAACCAATCACGAAATACATTTGCATTGAAATAATTAGTAGGTAAAATAAAGATACCTGTATGGCAATGAGAAAGTCGTGGACCGTGTAGCTAATCGCCTTCTCCTTCTTCTTCGTCGCATCCAAAAATTTTCTTGCCCAACGGCCCCGAAAGCCCTTTATCAGCCGTCCATACGAGATTCTACCCCAAGGATACGAAAAGAACAAGTCTAGATCGTCGACGATCGACAATGTCTCTATATCGATACCAACGTTGTTATCCGGAGCATTGAAGACTCCTTCGATGATCAAAGCGAGGCCAAGCTTGTACCGATCGGCTCGAGCCGTTGACGATCGAAGAAATGTCTGCTCGAGTTGGGCGCAAGAAATCTTGTCCACATATTTAAAGTATTTGTCCTTTAGTCTCCTCTTCTCAAGAACTCGGTCCATGACATTGTCATCCGGGAGAAGATCACACCTTAATCCAGTCACAAGGGCATACTCTTGAATTCCGAACCTAGCGAGGTGGCCTTGCAAATTAAACCACAGTTCATGCCGCTTCTTTGTTTGTATGCAGCAGAATACGAGTTGTTGGATTAATTCAGCAGAGAACTGGAGATCTGGAACCTTGGACAAGAACCCAAGGCATGAGTTGGGAAACTCTTCCCGCTGTCGCTCGTCAAAATGTTCCACGACTGTTTTTATATACCGCAGATTGCTTCTCTGCGATATGTGGCCCCAATCGTGCATTCTCTAGAACAAGAGGCTCGAAATCCATGTCTACAAAGACAAAATAAGAAAAAATTGTGTCAAACGACAATATAAACTTCCTCCCAGCATTGAAACGGAAGATATTCCCACATCAAACATGATTTCCACATCAGAAATTGTTGCATGCAAAAAATAAAAGGAATACTGATATCTGAACGCATATCACATAGAAATATTATTTTCTACTGGTAGGCCCTAGGCAGCCAGGAACTGAACTGTCGGTCCCGACATTTTATCCGTCGATGGTTCATCTGTCGAGAATTACAGAGGATAACTGTCGGGTACGACAGTTGAGAAACAACTATGGATAGATGAACTGTCGGGAAATCCTGTTTTGAATATGTTCCTGGTTATTAACATATTTTGATCATACAAAACAAAAAATAACTGCAACTGCAAAGAAAAGACCAATGTTTGAACCAATGGAATGAGCTGTTTACAGCTAATATGTAGAAATTTAAAACCCTGTGCTTGTCCTATTTACACAGTATAACCCCCCCTCAAACTTGCTAAAGTTGCATATGTTTCCTTAAAAACCCATACAATTTGTAATGCATATTTCTAAACCACAAGCTTATTCCACATTAAATCTAACAAGCAAATTATT